GGCAAAGCTGCTCACTGACAAGCTGCTGCCCAGCTCAGTCGGACCGCTCACAAACAGGGAAGACGCCAAAGCAGATGGACCGTCAACCGAAAGAGAGGAGCCGAGCTGAAGCGGGCCGTCAACAGCCAATCCGCCGCTAATGACGCCGTCTTTGTGGACGGACAGCCGATCGCCCACATACGTGAATGATCTCACGGAGAGAGAGCTGCGATGGAAGCCACTCCAATAACGTTAATCGTGTCGACGTCGCCTGCTTGAATCGTGCGGCCTGTGATATTCCATGTGCCTCCGGTGTGGACATTGAGCGTTGCACCCGCGAGGACGTCCAGATTGGTGCCCATTGTCACAGTGAAACTGCCATTCGTCGACACCCCATCACCCAGCAGCCAATCGCCCGCCAGAAGGCCCCCCGCCTTGTTGGCCGACGTAATGTCTGCGGAGCTGTAGTCTTTGATGCTCAGGGCCGGCTGCGTGCCGCCGAGGGCTGTGTAGCCCTTGACAGACAGCGAGCTCTCCATCACCGCCTCACTCTGACCCCGCAACCTCCCGACATGGCTCAGCTTTGATGGCTGGACCGATATGGGTCCAAGGAAAACCGATGAGCCGTCGACAGACAGAGTGCTGCCCACCTGATGAAAACGAAATTCAATGAGATACACACAGCCGTCGATGATGCAACGACATGACATGGAAGGAACGGCGGTTTTGAGTATGTGCGGAGCAGAATAGAATATTCATGTCGCTTACACGTAGCCACTGATTTATGGATAGCGTGTAGAGAACAGGAAGGTCCCAGGAGCCGAGAAATGCACCACCGTACGGTGTCACTTGGAGCACATCCACAAGAGCTGTGGCCGTCGAGTTGTACACCCTGAATGTTATTCGAAGTGTGTTGTCGTACACAAGCGCTACTTGAGGATCCGTTGCAGTCGATGAGTCCCACAGAAGCGAGACAGACTTGTCTAGATACACAGCCGAGCTGAGACTGAGACTCCCAAGGATCGACGCATTGTGGTGGACCGTTAGCTGGCTCCTGAGCTCGGTCGGCCCGCCAACAGACAGAGAAGACGCCAGAGACGATCTGTCGCTAACCGAGAGTAGGCCCGAAAGCACAGCGTCGCCGGAGACGCTAAGGGTGGAGCCGAGATGAGCAAATGACATAACGGAGAGAGAGCTGCCGATGGTGGCCATGTCTCGCAGCGACAGGGAGCTGCCGAGGATGACGTGGTCGAAGACGGACAGGGAGGCCCCCAAACGCGCCACGTTGTGAAGTGAAAGCGACGAACCAAGGCGAGCAACTGACGCCAGCGAAAAACTGCTACCAAGCTCCACAAATCCACCCACGGAAAGAGAGCTTCCCAGTAATGTGGCGTCGAAGATAGTGACTTGTGAGCCCAGAGATGTCAGCCCACCCACAGAGAGGGAAGATGCTAAGTCAAATCGGCTTTCGATTGAAAGAGAGGAGCCGAGCTGAAGCGGGCCGTCAACAGCCAATCCGCCGCTGATGACGCCGTTTTTGTGGACGGACAGCCGATCGCCCACATACGTGAGTGATCTCACGGAGGGAGAGCTGCCGATGGTGGCCATGTCTCGCAGCGACAGGGAGCTGCCGAGCATGACGTGGTCGAAGGCGGACAGGGAGGCCCCCAAACGCGCCACGTTGTGAACCGAAAGCGACGAACCAAGACGAACAAATGAGCGGACGGATAGAGTGCTTCCAATGGCCAGGAGGCCTCCGAGTGCCGTTTGGTCGAAGACTGACATGGAACTGAATGTGACGTCTCCCTGGACAGAGAGGTCCGAGCCCAGCGACACGAAATCCCTCACCTACAGCAACAGCCAAAGACATTTGTCGGTCTTCTGCGGTCACAAACATGGCAGATCGCTCTGCTTACCGAAAGGGACGATCCGAACGAAACGAAGTCGAAAGCGGACAGGCTCCCTCCGAAACGGCTAGTTCCCGAAAGAGACATCGAGAAGCCCAGGCGTGTGAAAGACCTCACCGATAAGGACGAGCCGAAATCCACACGATCAATTGCAGAAAGAGCACCATTTGCGACCGACCCGCCAAAGACACTCAGGCCGGAACCGATACTTGTACTCGTGCTCACCGAGAGGGCGTTGCCCTGTCACAGCAGAGACGGAAGGTGACTTTAATCAATTGGGAGCTTGTGGGTCGACTTGGACCTCCTCCGGTCACCTGACCAAGAATGTAGTGGACGCGACACTAAGGCTGCCTCTGACATTGACGTCATTCCCAAACAGGGCCTCGTTTCCCACCTGAGGCGGCCAAACCCCATGATATATAACACATTTCTTCCATTGCTCACCGAAAAGTCGCCGAAGAATCTTGTTCGTGCGGCCACATCAACAGTACCTAAGACGAGCGCACAGGATGAGTAAGCGCATCAACCACACTCAGCCTCACGGTCGAGCACAACACATCCATCCTCAATCCTTTCTGATCTTCTCCCTTCGAAAGAAACCCACCAGCAACAGAGATCGAGGCGCCGTAGCGCGTGAGACCCTTCACGCTCAGGTGCTGCGAGAAATAGGTCGGCTGCAGGATCGTCAAGTAATTCGGTCCAGCGGATATCTGCGATACAGGAGATATCACCAACACACGACGAACAAGACGTTCGCGCCAAATAAAGGAAAGGATGCAGGCGAAACGTGTGATGCTCCTTGCCTGGTCAAGATTGAGAGGTACATATCGGAGAACCAGGGGGGCTGGACCAACAGTGCGGTCCAGGAGCATCTCCCATCTGCGATCCCCCTGTACTCCACATGGAAAACAGGAAGGCAATGATCTGGGTTCTATTCGCCAAGATGCATCCACCTGCAACGTGAATGACAGTTTCGGATCCCCTCGCACAGGGTGCACGTCGAGAGGTCCCGTAACGCTGATGGTGCCTGAATGAATGGCCAATGAGTACCCAAAGGGCTCATGCATCGTGGCCTCTCACCGTCCTCCCGACGAGCAGCCAGCAGAACACATGCTGGAAGAACCCAGCGAGTACAAACAGCAGGAACGGGAGGCCAAGCCGCCTTCTCATCCGAGGAAGGGGTTCCCGCGTTTACAGAGAGCGTAAACGAATGCATGATATTGGACCTATCGTTTTAGTAATCGCGAAAACGGTCTTAAACACTAAGCTCTCCACTGTCCACAGCCTGATCTAAGACTCGATACAGAAAGACGAAGGCCACCACGGAGTGGAACGAATCCAACGGGGACGAATTCGACCATCAGCCGGTCATGAAAGCCGTGTCCAGAGCAAGCGTCACAGCCGCGAGAGAGTTCCTTCTGGCTGCTCTTCTGCTCCCGTGTCTGACTCACCGATGTCCTCTCCGCTGTCTGCAGTTTCGGTTGTGATAGGGCCATCACTGCTGACGTCATCTGTCTGCTGGAACGATGTATGTGGATGGGAAGCAAGGGGAATGGGCGGGCACACATCGTGACAAGACACTGTGCGGTACTCCGTCAATCTGCCGTAATCCTCGATTTCTTGGGCCGTCAATGTGCAGTAATCGTTCTCCTTGAAGACGTGCTGCACTCGCACCTTAAGGTCGACCTCCTCGTCACACCTGCTGCACTCCTCTGGCTCGACCAAGACGTTGACCCAGGAACACTCCATTGCTGATCGAGAACCCACGACATGGATGTGTGAGGGGATTGACATTGTGAACGACACATGTACCAGTGTCTCACGTGTTTTGATCTCCTGTGGAGCTTCGCAAATGAACGTTTCCTGCTTACGATCCAGGCTGTACGTTGTCACGCGCCAGCTGAAAGCAGACAGGATGGAATGAGAGACGGGTTGTCTTCGACAATGGTGCTCACTCTCCGTGCTCGGGGGGAATCGGTGGCGTGAGGAATCTGAACTTGATCCACTCGGGCACGACCGTCTCGCTGTTGTTGTGTGGCCGGATGTAGTCGTACAGGGATATATGCACCGAGTTGGCGGGGCCCTCCTGGTTACCTCTCTCGCCGAGCACCTCACACTTGCTTATCTTACCGAAAGACTTGCCTCTGCAAAGAAAGCACCGTAGGTGGAAGACCAGGCTTATTGGCTCACAGTCTTACGTCCATGAGCACGTTCTGTTTCCGAGGCCGAAATCGAAACCAGGAGGGGCATAGATCTCCAGCTGAGAGCGAGAGAGGCAATCTATGCTATGGCTGGTTCCGCCGTTCTGTGGTCACGAGGAATGATTAATACCTTATGCGCCTGTTGCACGAGCGTCACCCATACCCAGACACTTGTGGTTTTACCGGTTTGGGCTTCTCCCTCCAAGTATATCGCACAGTCAGCTACGAAACACAGTGTGGGCATTCACTCGTTTGCACCATTGATGGCTGTCTGTCTCCGTTAGCTTACGGCACGTATCGACACCGCAAGGCTCCTCGTGAAGTATCTCCTTGGCCGGGGGACACTGCTCGCCCAGTTGGGAGTCAGACTGGCGGGGCCACACTGGAATCACCTGACTGAACATCGATGGTCATGCGTGACAAGTCGCTTGGCCCGCACCTGTCCTGTTTCCACACCGTATTCTGGTGATTCGGCCGATTCCTCCACAGGGGTACGGGCACATGCCGTCGCCCCACGGATAGTAGCGAGCGTCGTAGCGCTGCCAGTCGGTGTATCGGCACTGATACTCTGACACATCCGATCATCACAAGCGGGGATGCGTGTCATTGGCCCGTCGGTCTTCTGCTCTGACCGCATGGCTTGATGTGCTCAGGGTCACAAGGCAGCCGTCTTTTGGCAACGTTGTCTTCTTCGTCCCAGTACGCGTTGCCTGTCCCCTTTTGCAGGTCAGGATGCTCTTCACAGGACAAACCATCACCCTAGACGAAGGACAAGCACAATTGAACACCCCAGACTCACATTCTCTTTCAATCTGTCTTTACCATTGGCGGCACTTCGATGGTTCGAATGTCGATGCGAAAAGCTTTGATCCCATGTTTCGCCTCTCTCCCTTCTGCTGTCAGGCACGCTGCAGTGCAGCTGCGAAAAAACACCGACCGTAAGCGTTTATCGAGTGCATTTCACTGACGCTCACGGCACGATGTTGGTCCATTCGCTCAGCTGACAGTCAACAGCTGCAGCCATACATACACGGTAGAGACACAGGCAATTTGGCTGATCACCACGCTCTTATTTTTACCGCATTCTTTGCTGTTTGCGCAAGGCACCTCTCGCACTGGGCTGCCGCAACTCTCAGGATTGTGAGTGGGAGCAGACCAAAGAGTTCTCTTCTGGAGAAAGTAACCTCCAGCTGAAAAGGTGCAAGTGGATGTCCCCACCAGCCGGTGTCAACGGATGCTGATGGAGACTTACGGCCACAAGTGACGGAGCACTTCGTCACGGTCTGCCATTCGCTCCATTGACAGCGATCCTCTGGAGACAGAGACAGGGACACAAATGCACTTGTTGTGACGGGCGCGTATACCCCTGCCGACCTTCGTGCAGGTTGGTGTTTGGGGCCCTTTCAAACAGGCGATGGTGGCTATGGAACTCAAAGAACGCGATCCTGGGAAGGGATGAGTGAGCCGCGAAAGCGATAGGAAAAAGGTCAAAAGCCATGAGACCCGTACCAGTGATTTACCAGTGATTCCTCTCATTGGAAGAGTCCAGCGGCATCTCAGCCGTCCGCACTTGGATAGTGAGGTTGTGAGCGCCGAAGGGAGACCGCCCGTCCCTTTCGCCACGTTGATCTCAACACCCTGTCCACTCTGCGCCAGGAGACTTCTCAGCGCGTTTTTGTCGCGTGGATTGATGTCTTCCTTCCGCTTGTAGATGCATTGGATCTCCGGAAGGCCTTTCTCATCCTCTGGGACGCTGCAGTCGACCAAATTGCCGAAGCGGCGAATCAGAGTGTAGCCAGGGGGAGTCACGAGAAGCAACTGCGATGATATCAAGAAAATGGCAACTATTGCAATGTTTCTCGCCCGCTTCCTACGTGTTTGATTCGATTCGTCTCCCTTATTTTGGCATCTTCCTTTGCATCGTAGTGGACGATGACCGTCTCCTCCGTGTCAGTCGTCTGCGTCCGGGGCTCAATTATGTCAAAGGAGAAAGGATGCGGGTTGCCCTTGTTGATACTGTCGAGCTTCAGGGTGATCGGCCATGCACTGGTGAGACGGTCCTCCTCGCCGGTGGCCGCAATCTGGGTCTGAGTTGCAGACACTGCTTCAACCAAGTGGCTCTGTGATTCTGCTTCCTTCGGTCGGTGGCTTGGATGAATGACAAGCCTCTGTCTGTGCGGCTGTTGCGGAAAGGAGAGGCCTCGAGTCGGCCAACGTTTGGCCATCTTGTGCGCGTCCGTGTTGACGTCGAGAGCGCGACACATGCCGTCACCGCGCAATGAGACTTGTGACGTGCATGGCTGCACTTTGGTTGGGGGCCGGCTGGGGGGCGGGGGCCAATTCAAATGAATCGGCGCTGAATGTGTTCTGCAGATGCGTGGGCACTTGGATGCATGTACGCGTGGATGTACCTGAGGCCTACGAATTGTGCATGTTCCCTGACAGACTCCCTTTCACAATGGCACCCCACTTGGTTTAAAAATCAGGGCATATCAGAAGAGTCACAACCCATACCACCACGGCACACGAGCTACTTATACATATTCGCAAATTGCTTGTCAATCACTTCGTCCTCCTCCACGATCTCGATATGCACGTCATCTGAGAGTGGCGTGGCTTGACACGCCAGAGTGTAGCCCGCCTCGGTGACCTCATCGTCTAGCGTCCCCATCCCGTGATCCACACTCCCGGAAACCACCTTGGCCGTGCACTGGAGGCAGGTGCCCAGCCGGCAGTCATGTGGAAGCTCCAAACCCGCCTCCTGCAGTACAAACAAGTCAGCACAAGACGCCTGTATTGGAAGGGACAGTAATGGACATTGTGATTCAGTACCTCAGCAGCCTCGAGGATACTATCGCCAGGATTCACCGTCACATCATACGTATCGCCATTGATACTGACCTTGACGATGCGAGAACTCATCAGCTGTGTTGATGGCCGATGCCTGCGTGCTGCAACTGATAGTGCATCGCCTCTCAGCCGCCTCAGGTAGAGATGGGCCGAAGACGGACATAGAAAACACAGAGACTCACCAAGGGATTCCACCAAGGCCACGGTAGAGATGAGGATCAAGAGAAGTAGAAGTGGGATCCCTGCACAAAGGTACATGACATGACAGACAAACGTCTATGTCCTCTCGCACATACTGTAAAGCCGCTGCATGAGGGGATGCGGAAGTACGCAGGCGACCCGAAGCTGATCCAATGTGGACTCGAGATCACGCTCTGCTAGAGGCAGGGGAACCGCTGTCCATTTGCGAGCTTAGCGTGAGTAAGTTCCCATGGAGGCAGAAAGGTCGCCGGTTGGTCAGCTTTCAGCTGAGGCTGCCCGTGTCCCCGAGGCTGCCGAGCTCATCAGCCAGATCAGAGGATACTATGACAGCAAGTGAGCAGGCAGGAGAGGAAAGCAGCACAACACGCACTTGTGCCGTGCTTTTGCTTTGAAGATACTGGCATCAGCTGACGGATGCATTGTTCGAGTACCTGCAAATGCCTCAAGTGGCCGGCGATGCTGCTGCACTGCTCGAGTTCCACCACAACTTCGTCAGGAGCGTCGAGAAACGCATCAACCCGTTGCGTATGGTCCAGCTGCTGAAGATTGTCTGCGCCAACCAAGGTGAGCATCGGACGCGACTGCGAACATCGCTAATTCGTGTATGCATTGTGTGGCACAAAAGATGCGGACAGGGCGCTGGCAATTCTCGAACCTTACGAAGAGGTCCTGAAGAACCAACCCGAATCCAACGCTGCACAAATGCTGTGGAGCTGCCTGAAGGTGACATCAGACACAGGGGCCAAGCCGACTCACGAGTGGCAGTTGGCCCCAATGTGTACACCACTTGTGTACAGGTTCATCACATGGTTGCGAAGGGCGAGTACATGGAATGCCGGGATCGCCTGGAGGTGCTTCAGCAGCAGCTGGAGGACACGCACGGTGTAGATGTTGCTGTTTCAGCCGCATACCACGGGGCATGGGCCGATCTGCACAAAGTTAGCATGACATCTGAGTACTGTGCAGACGCTTGAGTGCATGCATCTGTCGCGCCTTCCTCTTCAGGCTATGGGACGGCCCGAGTTGTATTATGCGAGCTGTCTCCTCTGGCTTGCGTACACTCCTATCCGTACACGCCCACACATAGAATCTCACTGATCTTGAGTGAGTGCGTGCTTTTCCCTCAGAGAACATCCCCGAAGGAGACCGTCCAAAGATCGCATGTGACATATCGGTGAGGATGAGTCATTTGCAGATCCTGACCATCTCTCACTACCTGACCTTTTCTGACCTATTCTCAGATTGCGGCACTCCAGGCCTCTGACATGTTCAACTTCGGCGAGCTGGTGGCACAGTTGGCCAACACTTCGCAACCACGTCCCAGCAGAATGTTTGGGTATTCGATATACTGTCTTTTACCTGCTCAGGTCAATCAACCTCTCGTGCAGTCACTTAAGGGCACACCGGAGTACTCGTGGGTGTCTGACATGCTCGCGGCTTTCAACGAAGGACAGCTCGACCTCTACGACAAGGCGGTGCAGCAGCACGCGTCGACAATCCAGAACTCCGAGCTCAAGGACGTCCTGAACACGACCATGCGACAAAAAATCACACTGCTTGGTACTCACTACGAAACAGATGGTCGTCACGGCATCTGCTCGGCTGTGGGACCTGTCAGCCCTCATGGAGCTTGCATTCCGTAAGCCGAAGCTGCAACGCAAGCTCGATTTCGGTGAAATCGCTGCGCACTGCCGCGTACCCGTCAACGAGGTCCGTACCACGCCCCTGCTTGAGCACCCGTCAGAGTGGTAGTTACCCATGACTGTCTCCGTGTAGGTAGAGTTCCTTGTAATGAAGGCCATGGCCAACAACCTCATGCGGGGCGCCATCGACGAGGTGAGTGAGGGATAAACTATGGGCGAAATCCTTCACAGTAAGACGTGTCTCCTTCAGGTCGACAAGGTTGTGCGCGTGACCTGGGTTCGCCCTCGCATTCTCGATAAGGCCAGGTGATGATCCCCGGGCAGCAAAGCAGATGACATTGAATGTGGCCTGGCTGCTCCTTTAGGTTGGCGCTGATGCGGGAGCGCATTTCGTCGTGGGCTCAATCTGCCAGGGGTCTCCTCATCAACTTAGAGGAAGTGACGCCTGAGCTTCTCGTATCATAGTATCCACGTGCAGGATCTGTGATGTCGGGGTGTGGACAGACTCTACACACACGATTTATCACATCTCATGCAGTATGAACAGAGGAAGTGCATGCATGGAAAGCGCCATACACAATCTGCAGACACGAAACGATATTGATGAAGGCCTACCATCAGAAGGCTTCTTGAATTCTCACGTATATCACCAGCGGCGTGTCTGACACTGGGGCAGCCACGCCGCTGGTGGGTTTTATAAGGTAAGTAGTGAGAGATACAGGGCGAGCGGGCAGAGGCGTCTCCTGGGTGACCCTCGTCCTCAAAGTCGCCTGTCACGTCGATGTGAGCAGGAAGGGCAGACATCGGACGGGAAAAAAGGGCGGCCTTTCCCCTATGCAGCCCGCACTGAGAGTTTTTCGGACTCGCAACGAACGAGGGTTTCTTTGGGTCCCCGTGGGGACAAGGCCGCTTTGTAAGCCGAGACCTCCCTTTGAAAGTTACCCCGTAACGATCATGGAGAACCTATACGACCGCCTTGGCGTCTCGCGGGACGCCACTGCTACTGAGATCAAGAAGTCTTTCCGACAGCTGGCGCTGCGGCACCACCCAGACAAGGGTGGTGATGTGGAGCTATTCAAGAACATCAACATTGCATGGGAGGTGCTGGGAGACGATGACAAGCGCAGCGACTACGACAAGAAGCTCATACGTCTGCGGTCCATGGACGGGCTGAGGAGCGGCAGACGCGATTACAATGGTGGTGACTCGCAAACCGGCGTGCGGCTTGTGCGACGGGCAACGACCTTCGAACATGGAAAGGAAGCGCCTCAGCGGACCGATGCGGGTGCCGCAAAAGACGCCCAGGAACCGAAGCAAGGAGCGAATCTCTTCACTCGCCGGGCTTCTGATGCAAACGCCAAGACAGCGTCCACAAACGGAGACGGCACGTCACAGAAGAAGGCCCCGGGCGCTTTCGAGATTCCTTCTGACCCAAGCAGCCTCACCGTGAAGGAACTGAAAGACCTGCTTTCGCACCTGGGCATCATTCACGATGACTGCATTGAGAGAGGGGATTTGCTGGAGAGGCTGCGGAGCAGGAGGGATTTCGCCGCATCGAAGCGTCCTGCTGCACCAAAAATGCCGGAGACATCTCCTCAATCCTATTCCTCCAAAGCCGGGCGGCCGCTACGCATAAAGGTGATATCATTGGGAGCAGAGGAGACGGGGAAGAGCTGTCTTATCAAGCGCTTCTGCGAGGGACGCTTTGTCAATCGGTACATCTCAACATACGGCATCGATTACGGCGTCAAAGAGGTGCAGATCGGGTCGCACAACATCAAGATCAACTTTTGGGACCTGTCGGGCCACGACGATTTCTACGACATCCGGAACGAGTTCTTCGATCACGTGCAGGGGGTCCTGTTGGTGTTTGATGTGACGAATCGGCAGTCTTTCGAGCGGCTCAACGGATGGCTGCAGGAGGCCAAGAGACACAGCCTGCAGCTGTCCAGAGCATCTTCCTCCCGCGGGCCCCCCTTTGTGGTGCTGATCGGCAACAAAGTGGACAGGGGTGGGAGGGTGGTGGCGCAGAGCGAGGGGGCGGGATTCGCGGCTTCTCATGGGATGGATTACTACGAGACATCGGCCAACACGGGCTACAACGTGCAGGAGGCCCTGATGGCGCTGTTCAAGAAGGCGGTTGACCAGCTGCTCTCCCAAAGACACAGGTTCGGCATTGCCAATGTGTGATGCACATCCCATGTGATGCACATCCCGAGGGACTTTTGTCCGGTGAAAATGATTGACCGATGCATGCATCACTTGATCTGGTGGTGAGCATGTGGTGCATGGTTAACCACTGGACGCTTCTTGTACGTCGAGCCGACGAAACACACAGCACACTTGCTCAGCCCTGCTCTCTGCCTCTTTCGCTGTGAATGTACCCGACTGTGCGTCTCGCGTGTGTTGGAGTGGCCAAAAAAATGAATGAATTGTTTTGATCTATGGTGCTTCTCCCGTACGACTTTGTTAATCAACAAATGCAAGATCCCGATCAGCATAGGGTTTCATTCCATCCTACTCCTCCCATTCACCTGACACCTGTCTCTGTTCCCAAGCTCCCATAATGGGGTCCCAACTGCAACCTGCGACCATGCAATGCAGACATCATTCTGTAAGACCTACTAGCACGCACATTCGAGTGCAGACTGCCGATCAGCAGATCAAAGAAAACAGTATAGAGAGGAGCGGGCTGTAAAAAACGGGCGAGAGCAACCTGACTACCCGAATCGATCGACGTACATTTCCGACGACAGCACTGTCTCGGCCACAACCTAGTCTTGGCTGACACGATCTGAACTGAGGGAGGCTGACCGACACACAAATCATGGTAGAAGCACTCTCGCACTCTCTTGCCGGCGCTTCGGATCTGCATTGTCCGTCGGTCCACCTGTAAGGTCCGCACAAACCCGATACACACTCAACACACAGTGGCGCCGCACCATCGAATGTACCCGCGGATGGGCCATCATTCTGTATCTTGGGGCACCAGGGAGGAAAGATGGTGTCAGACGATCCAATAATGGTCCCCCGCACATTGAGTGCCTCCACGCGAAAGTAGACACACGAACCTAGAGACACAGGAGTGCACGTGTCGCGTCAGCTTCTCTTAGAACGGTGTCTGCATACCTGTTGGATTGAATTTTCCGGTAAGCGCGGTACTATGCTCGAACCTGGTCTTGTTGACTACCTCCACAGCGTAGGTCTTCTGGAGACCCCAGCCCCCCAAAACACGCCACTTGGCCACTTTGGTTGCGCCGTTCCAGCTGCAAGTATCCGCAAGGTGAGGGACGTCAGTGTCATGTGCTCGTTCGTTCGCACACATGCACCTGCATACCTGTAGTGGAGCGTCGCGGGTTCTGCATTTGTGTCGAGTAGGAGGGTCGGCTTTGTCGAGTTGTCGATCCCTTCAAAGGGGAGCCGAGCGGCGCGGTAGCCCATACCTTTTTTGAACCGCATCCGCAGCAGCTCCTCTCCGTCAGGGGAGATCTCCGAGTAGAAGGGCTGAGCGCCGCCAGGGTCTCCCTCGATCCCTCCTACATGTCACAATGAATTGACCACATATGCATGCCATTCAAAGATGTGGACAGAGCACAAAATCCATGGTAGCTGTCGCTCACCCCAGCTGACACCATGGTTGCCATTCGCAAGACGCTGCGCAGGGAGAACGACAAGAACGGAATACGCAAACAGCTGGTCGGAGGCGCTGGTGTTTACCTGATGACTTCCCATGGCCGCACCCCAGATCCCTGATCAGTTACACACACGAGCAGCCGTGTACTTAGTGTCATCTGTCTCCTTTTGCTCCGTGTGAGAGCGGACGCCATTGGGGCTAGCCTACCCGGCGAGTACTGCCAGACGAGGGTGGCAATCTTCTTGTCTTCGTCCAGCCTATACTCCACGGCTCTTGATCTCGGGGGGTCACGCTCATTCCCATTGTCATATAGCGTCAGGTGGCCGTCTGGGTGCAGTACCGCATCGTGTTGGAAGCTGAAGCCGTTGAAAGGGTCGTTGACAAACCGGAACTGGTTGGCTTTGCCGCCCATCTTCCAGATGACGTATCCAGTCTCACGGTCGATCTTGATGACCTGAGACAGGTACCGCAGGCTGAGCAGCACGTGTCCGTCGGGCGTCCATGCCACTGCGTTGGCGTGCAGGTGGTCAAGTCTCGAAGAGTCGAACTTGAACCGATAGTCGTCAGCTGTTAAGGTCTCCTCAAATTGATTCGGGAGATGGTGCTGCGAGACATTCAGAGACGTGGCACCGCAAACATGCCAATCAGATAGAAGATTTCCTTGTTTGCGCACATACCCATGAGGACCACTGCCAGACGAGGCGATTGTCGGCGTCGAGCTCTTGCACGACGCATCCAATGGCGACTCCACTTGCATTCCCCGGCAAGGAAGAGATGTTCTGTTTGCTCAGGTCCCTCAAGTCTTTCGCTATCAGCAGCACGTGGCCATCCTCGCGGATTTTCATGTCGTGATGGTCGGGGTCGTAGCCATTTGCTGGCACGATGGTGCGCACACGCTTGAAGGAGTTATTTAGCACGTGCCACCTGCAGGAGAGATGAGCCTAATGTGAGGTGAGTCCATGATAACAATCAGTGGAATGCTCTTCGTTCACCCACGGTCCTCCGGTATCATCTCGATGTAGGACAGCTGATTGTTGCCTTGCAGCTTGAAGTCCCGCAATTGGAAGCGCGGGCCCGTGGTGCCGCCGGTGGTCCACGGGAAGCGATGATACCACACCGGCCCTCCTGCCCTCCAAGGAGTGAAACACAGTCAGAAGCAGTCTAGTACAATCAGAAGCAACGCTGGGAGTGTCGAGGATTTTCACCTGTGTTGTCCAAGATTAGCAGGTACTGATGGGTAGTGATGTTGCCGGATCGCATGTGATCCGTAAAAATATACCCCTCGGCCAGTCTGGGGCTCGCAGATGGCTTCTTGACAATCTGTACTTCAGGATAGTCGTCAGGTAACGTCAGAAATCCAAAAGCGCCGGGCCTCTTCGCGATAAAGCGGCCACCGTCCCACAGAAAAACGAAGGGCTCTCGTTCGGACGGAGCCTCCTTAACGAGGACTAGTGGACGGCCATCAGTCAGCACGTCCGGGTGGCCTGTGAGAGAATTTTTTACACTTTGCGTGGTCGGCGAGTCGCGGGACGACGAGGTCGACGGATGGGCACTGTCAAAAGGGCCAAGTCCCGACGCGCAAGTGGCGACGGCAAACCCGGCGCACAGGACGACGACGAGGAGGAGATCTGCAGACATGATGAAGAAGGAAGGTTTGACCAGGAGCTGCTCGTCCGTTATTTCGTCCGTTGTCCAACGCCCGTAAATTCTAAAAGGGGTCGTTCGCTGTAAGTAATTGGACTTGTGTAATGACTTGGACTTTTCCTGTCACAGAACACGCACACAAAGAAAGGCAGTGGGATACCACGGAAAATGTCATGTATGCAAGGCCAATCACCCAAGTCACGGGTGACTTAGGTGATTCGGCTTTCGTACTTTTGAGTTTTCGAATCACCCAATCCAGATGAAGCACCCCCTCTGTCGAAATCCTTAGTCACGGGTGACTAAGGATGGTGTCTCAGACTGGTGATGCTGGCTGAGGGCAAGAAGAAGCACCCCCTCTGTCGAAATGCTTAGTCGCGGGTGACTAAGGATGAGAGTATAAGTGGGCTGGCAGCATGAAGAACCACCCCCTCTGTCGAAATCCTTAGTCCAGCCGATTACAAACACCCACCCTTCCCATCGGCTGGCCGCAAACAAAGCACCCCATCAGACGGCAGGCGAACGAAAGACGGACCTGACAGACAGACAATCACACAGTCGCATTTAAGCGCTGAATTACCTGTCTGTGTGTGTGCAGCGGCGGAGTCCTTCCGGAAAAGTCCAAGTCGTTACACAAGTCCAATTGGGCGTACAGCGAACTGGGTGCATTCCCTAGATTATTCCGTCACCACCGACCGATCACATTGTGCGGTCTCCGCCTCCGGGTCGTCACACGTACAATCAACGGGAAGATGAACGAGCACGATGAAGTCAATAGAAAGACCCTTGCGCTGTGCTGGTAAACAGAGGGACGCCGTCCCCACCAATTGGAACACAACGATAAAGTCTTGTGCAGTTTTCGTAGACTGGTTCAAGAGACTTATCGTTCGCTTCATTGGTTCCTCCTTCAACCAGTCTCTGAGTGAAAGACCTAGTAGGAAGTCTTTGTTCTTTCTTGGCGTACAAAAATGCTCTACATCGTAGATGCAATCCTTTGAAATCCGTCGTGACGCTACGCAGCTACTGCGACAGCCTCTTGCATCTGTCTCTTTCTCGCCGCCACTGCTTTCTTCTGCAGCGCCCTCGGTAGTCTCCCCCTGTACACGTATCTGCGAGGGATGGAGTTCTTGCTTGGGTCCTCGGAATCTGGGTCGTACCTGTATTTAGCCGCCAACAGACATCCAGCACCAGTGCATGTGCACGTGGAATCTGTGGGTGTCTTACTCTCCGACGACTTTGTCCATGGTCCTGGGCTGCAGGAGGAGACACTTGCCTCCATTCGCGATGATTGCGCGGGCGGCACTCTTCGAGTACGAATGGGCCTAATCACATAGCAATCAGAACCGTCATCAGAATCCCATCATGTGCGTCGAAAGCATGACTGACGTATCGTCGTACCTTGACGGTGAGGTCCTTGGTGGTCAACTGTGTCGATCCTCTGTTCCGATAGATGGAAATGGACGGCCCGACCACCTTGACAGGATGCAGCCGGCGATGCTTGCCTAGCTTGGCGCCATAGTACTCAAGCGCTGCCCAGTCAACCTACACCGGACAGGTAAAACCGCCAGTGAGAAATGTGACTCATCCGTGCGTGCGTTTGTCCTACGTCTGCTCCGTCTGGTGCGACATTGAGCTCATTCAAGGGAATTAGCTCGTACTCGAAACGGTTATACCTGCCCAGAGTAGAACGCCACACTCAAGTACATACGAATCTCTTTCCGTCCATGCACCCACCCACTCACCTATGGCCTGTGCCCAGCGGTCTGCCAACGAATTTCGGCAGTCTTCTGTAGAGAGGTATCTGGCCTCCCTCGAAGCCGGGCCGGATGCTCCCGCCACTCCTTGCCTTCTGTCCTCGCATGCCCTTCCCAGAGCTCCCACCCAAACCTGTATACACATGAACAGACAGACAGGAGACATACAGGCAAACACAGACACACGCATGGTGTGATACGCTCGCTGTTCCCTGTATATGTGCATTTACCTGATCCGTATCCTCTGCCCAGTCGTTTCTTTTTCCTCAAGCCAGTGTCCTTCGGCAGGTTGTCGAGACGCAAGGGTGGCTCTTCGCCTGCGAGCTCCATTTTGCCGAGATAATCCATCTCATCGAGCTGCGCAGTCACGACAACAGGTAAGTTGGCTGATGCACCTGCGTATTCACTCATCTCTTTGCCGCCTAGATCCGCGCTGACCTGCTTTACTGAGCCTGATTCCTCCATCCACTTGTTCTCAAGCTGCCGTGCCTCCTCGCCTGTTGCCAATGTTATGGCGTTGGGCCAGTCAGAAGCGGTGAAGTCCCAGAAGATATGGCGCTGCTCCCATTCACAGCCAGCGGCCTTGAGTTTGGCCGTGTACTCGTTGTCGAGGGCATCCCGTGCCGCCATCGCCTTCTCCTGTAGTGGTCCGAGGGCCTCCACCTTGTCGTCCCTGGTGCGAGATGTGTCGTTCAAGATCGACTCCATTTGGTCCACATAGGGCTCCACTTCCTCCGAATACCTGCACTCCCCCAAGCAGAGTCAATCGACTCCGGTGAGGTCGGTTCGCTTCTGGGCCTGTGTGTCTATCTCCAGCCTGATGTCGTGCATACCTTTGTTCCCATTCCTCAAAGAGTTCCTCCACCTCCTTTGATGGTTTGGGCGCGTCGGCATCTGGGTCTTCCCCCGCCAGAATTTTCTCTAGCCGAAGGTTTGTCACGGCAGCATAGTCCCTCGCAGCTTTGTTCTTGTCACCGGCAGACCGCCGCCTCTCCAGCTTCTTCAAATAGCGCTTCGACTGAAACCACACCTTTCTATCTAGGACACGCACACGGCCATACTTGTCTTTCGGCAGCGGCGTATCAGCAGTTCCGGGCGCAGCTGGGGAATCAGGATCTGAATGCACGTGGAGGAAGAAAAAGGTGACATCTACGGCTGTGCCAAGCGATCTCCTACCATCAGCATGAAGAATGGTCAGTCCGCCAGACAAAGGAAGGACATGTTCTGGGGGTGGGAAGCCATGCCTTGCAGAGCGGAAAGGGGTCAGAGATCTGGATTGGATGGCACCCAAGAAGCCTTCAAGGGCATCAGCAAGCGAGAGGAACCCCACTTCATCACCCTGGGCCAGCAAACGCCACAAATCCAAAACATGAGCAGAAGGACTGACTCCTTGCTTCCTTCTGCTTTGCTGGTGCACAGCACCTTCCTGTCGAGCTCATGTGTCCCTCCTGCGTACCGTCGTGTCACTTGCGTCAGGCTCATGCAAGATCTCGGCAACGCTGAGCACCCCAAAGCCGCACAACCAAGCCACACAAGGATACCACATGGAACACATAGGGACACATAGACTGAAGCCTTCAGCTCGCAAAAGAAGCTCGCACACTTGGCCAGGAACTATGGGCCAATCGCACGTTCGTTGACGGACACCGAAGTCCCGGCCCTTGAGGGCAGATGCTGTGTCCATAAAAGCGGTCCCACGAATTTAGAAGCATAGAGTGTTTGGAAACGCACTGCTGCCACTGCGTTGACCGTATTCTGATGACCGATGACTGTGCTCCTTTTGCATAAGATGTACGTCACGTCTTTGCCACAGCCGTAGTCAAGTTTGGTCCAACACAACATGCCGATGCACACAACAAACACTCAGTAGGTAGAGTCACTCATTCGAAAAACAACCCAGCCGTACGGAGCATCAATTTCAGTCACTGATGGGCACGGTGTGCGTCTATTCGTCAATAGAAAATGCACCCGAGCATATCATAAATACCCTCACACCATTGCCGTACACATACATGCATTCTCCCGAGGGACAAACAGACAAGTGCAAGCCAGCCACCCCTGCGGTCGCTAATCTACAGCCAGTGCCCGCCTCCGCTCTCTGTCACGTCGATGTCGATGGCCACGGGCGGACTCGACGGCACAGAAGGGGGCTGCTGTGGCGTGGGGGGTTGGGACAAGTTGGACAACGGGTTGAACGCACCGGGTGTTGTTGAGGGCTGGCCTCTCTCCTGGGCCGCGGACCCTCTCTGTCCACTCGGCCCTCCCCGCGTGCCGTCAGAACGCCCCTGGGGCTGCGAAATGCGGTCGGGACGCCGACGAATCAGGCTCTTCGAGTCGGGGTATGGCGGCAGGATCAAACCAGAGCCCGAGCCAATCGGAGCAGTCGACCGGGGAAACGCAGGCCCCCGGGGAAACGAGGCCGCGCTAACCGGCATCGGTTGGTGAACGTCGCCCGCCCCCGAGCCCGTCGACGATGCTTCTGGCCCGCGCAACTCCGGCAGGCGCAGAGATGGAAGAGGGGATGGAACAGGCGATCCGCGCTTCCTCTTGCCCGATGTCCCCCTGCCGCCCCCTACGCCAAATCCGCCCTCCCCATCTCCCATCGCGACAGATACGCCCGCTGCGGACTCAGCACCAACTGCGCTCCCGGCGGGCATCGCCGACAGAGAGAAACCCGATGGCTGAACAGCGACATGGGGGATC